GGGGGGGGGGGAGAGAGCATGGTCTCGGCCGGTGGTTGTTTCGTAGTTGTGGTCAGTGCAAAAGCGGCGGCCGTTGTTCCTAATCGCGGCTGCCATCGGGATCACCAGCACCGGGAGGAGCCGAGCGCTATCGGCCAGCTTTCGCACTGACCCATTTATTTAATCGTTTTCATTCCGTTTGCTTGGCGGCGGCGCCTGCTGCCGGCCCTGCTGGGGATGCACAGGGGCTGCAGCCGGACCAGGGCGGTGCGGGCGCCGCCTTTACAATGGGCTCGCTGGAGGAAGTGCTAATCCGAGGCATCCTGGGCGGGGCGGCGGCGGCGGCGGCGGTCAAACCAGCAGACAGGGAACCGCACCACTGCAGCACAAAACCAAAAGCAGAGACTTTATTTTGTTTCCTTTTTCGGCCGGTGCCGCGCGGCCGATGCCCATGGTTTTCGTCAAAACACCTGAATGGCTCTCTCTGTGTTGGATACAACGGTGATACACGCCGGCGCCGCGGGCAGGGCCGGGGGTTTTGCCCAGGACGGCGGCGGTGGCAGTGCCGCTGTCGTGTAGGTGCAGTACATCTCGAGTTCGCGATGGTGTCCCCGTGCAGGTGCGCCCGAGGTGCGCCGAGGTCCTATCGACTGTGCCCGCTGTCGTGCCCGCGGTCAAAAAACGCCCTCGCGGAGAGCTACGAGCCGCACGATGAACGCAAACAGAGTCAGAGTCCCTATTGTCAGATTATAAACGTTTTCATTAGGGGACATGGGGTACAAATAATGGGTAGATATCGGTAGATATGCAGCAACCGAAATCGAGTCCCGTGTCGGTCAACCCCGCTCGTGCCGAGTTACTTCGGCTGAGGAAATAATTTTCAGCAATCATGGAAGCCAAATAAAAAAGCCACACAGTCGATTCATGAAATAATAAAAACACTATTCTATTGTTAAGGTTTTTTGAGCGCGAGAAGGGGGGGGGGGCGTCAAGGGATTGAAAGGAAAAAAAAATCGCCCTTTAGCGCGGACGTGTATGTGTGGCTGGTGATGGCCCCGACGACAGACCGTAGCGACAGGCAGGAGCCTCTTGTCCTCCCGGGGGGATTATCCCGGGGGTGTCGGGGGCTGGGCCGGCAGACCGGGGTAGTCATTAGAGCACCACCAGGGCGATCCTGGGCACGACGGGGACCTCGCGACCACACGAGGGGCTGAGGCACGGTGTAGAGAGATACGGTGGGGACACTGGGCCGCTCCGGGCCTACCTGGGGAGGTCCCAGTTTTGGATCCATTATTAGTTCCCCAGTACGCCGTCCGCCGCGCTGCTCGGCAACGTGTACTGGGCGTGGCGCAGCGTAGCGCCGGCGCCCGCCCGTGCGTGCGAGAGAGACAGGTAGTCAGTGTGCGAGAGAGAAGCACCGGTACGGGTTGCCGAGCAGCGCGGCGGACGGCGTACTGGGTAACTAATAATGGATCCAAAACTGGGACCTCCCCAGGTACCCCAGTGTCCCCACCGTATCTCTCTACACCGTGGGCTGAGGGCTGAGGGTGTGCTAGGGTTAAAAATCCGGAAAATGGTGTTAAACTTCTTCAGTCTGGGTAATTTGCAATTTTTCCTGGAAATTTTCCGATTTTTCCCAAAATTTTCCTGTATTTTTCCGGAAACTTTCCAGGGCTTCTAACCTCAGGGTGTGCTGCTGATCGCAAACACTACCGGACACAGGACGAGCGATATGCACCTG